ATATTAATTTATGAAATTACATAGGGACTCGCCCCTGTATGCCAATTTCTCCTAATGGCCTTTGAAAATATCAAAATGCAAAAGGGTGGAAAACACGAGCTTTCTACTTATTGATCGATCAGTTGGATACTATTTACTATCCCAATAAAACCTCACCTATAAACACACGCTTAAATTGGTAAACCTCCATATATTTTTTTAATAGTTAGGGAAGGATTACGGCAATACGAATACGAGGAAAGAGAAACAAATCAATGTATTATTGCCAAGTGAATGCGCTAAATCGTATACTTACAAAACCGCTGCAAAGCTGACATTAATAATGATCAATGAAAAGAAATTAAGCACGCAAAAAGGCAAATTTAATTTGAAAATAGTGAGAAATGCCCAAAAGTAAGCTGCTCAACGTTGGAATTGATCTGCACTAAAAAGTACAACAAAGGAATAAAGAAGTCTATGATTTGGATTCAATTTGTCTGATTAAAAGTCTTTTACGATAAGAATATACAATACATTACAGGAGAAAAACGCATTTATCCCTGAAGCAATATACAAGGTATATAATAAACAGAATAAGATTGTATAAACAAGCGACGAAAACAATGTATATATTTTATCTCTAGTAAATATCTCCCATTTAATACTGCAAACACTATCCGTTTTATGTCATATTTAAAATATAATAAAAATATACTAATAATACCTCGAACTTCAATCCTGTTAAAAAATTTCTTAAATATAATAATCACCTGTTTTACAGAACAGCACTCCAAAGTATGAACTTCTTTTTTTTACACCACATCACGGAAACCTGCTTTAGCTTATCCTTAAACAGGTAATACAATCAAGTATGACAGGTTTTTCTTTTTAGAGATGCAAATAGCCGAAGCAGATCAATTTTCCAACTTAGATTTCATCGTGTTGTTTTGTACCCGTTAATCGAAAACAACTGCCAAGGATACGTCAAACCTTTAAAACGTCGCAATTAGTCGAACAGTTTTGATTTTCCTGGCATAGTTTTGTCTGACGTCAGTCTAGTCCTGAATTCCGACCCATCACTCAAAGTAGCATTCCTGTCAGCAGAATTTTATCTCTTCGAAGTAGCCGAGCAAAAGAAAAGGCAATCGCCAAAGTTTCCGAATTTTCTTTCTATTAAGCTTTTTTTCGATTGCTTCCTTCCGCAGTGACATTTTTTTTCTCGTTCTTTAAATAGTCTCTTACTCTTGATCGATCGCTGTATTCGATCTCCATCAAGTCTGTACCGAGCTTTTGGATTCCTTAAAACTAGCAACTTTAACTCCTCTATGATTTCCTAGTTCCGAGACAAATTTGAGGTAGATTTTGTGTGAAACGTGACCTTTGAGGTGACCCATTCACATTTAATTTAGATTTAAGCATTTTTTGACGAAAAGGTTTATTAACGCTGTCAGCACTGTCTTCGCTTCTTAAATTTGTCAATGTCAAATTGGGTGATAAATGCTGAAAAGGTACATCGATGCCTGTTAGCCAATCACCGATGACAAATAATCAATTTTCTTTCGATAAATCTGAGCTCGTAAAAGAATAACAGCGTTACACTCTTCGATTTGATTGACGTGAAAACCCGAACGAGTTAGTAAACTCGACAGACAATTAACGTTGTTATCATTTAGAAGACACGCAATTTGAAAATAAGGAAGCTTCAGGTCAAAAACTTATAGGTAATGATGCATGTGTGAAATATATACCCCATTATATTTTGTTGACAGCTTTAATTTTGATAGATTAGACGAGAAATTGAATGGAAGAGGTTATGAAAATGTCTCAATTATTTACCTAATACATACTGAAAATTTTTATAGCAATTGATTTTAAAACCGTGCAAAGAGACTCAAGGCTCTTATAAAAATTAAAAATTTTAAGCGGTAAAAAACCATTAATCATCCGTTTCAGTGCTCATATCAGCCATTAAAAAATTCGATAACGTACACTTGTCCAAATAATCATTTTATTGTAACAACATCCATTAACAAAATATCATTTGTTGGCATAAATCATGACAGAGGTAAAAGGTGGTTAGAATCATAAATACGGTTGATGGAACTTCCCGGTGAAAGAATTGGCAAAATTTCACGCTAATATTTTTCCAAACACGAAATTGTGCATTCGTTGACAACTCGTGGGTGTAAAGATGCACCGCAGAAAAATTCCACAATAAGACACAACAACTCTTGCCAACTTTCATTATAACTGACAAGTACAGCTAATTAACGGTTGTTCTGTATATAAAACACATCTTAATGATGATGAAAAAATTCGTTTTTTCGGGAAGCAACAGATTTAGTGCAAGAATGCAACAGAAAATAATTTTAACTCGTTGCATGAGTGAGTCAGCCGCTTTGAACTTGAGCCAATGCTTTCGGTTAATGGTTTGTGTACCAACATCAGACAGCTTGGACAAAAGCTCAGCCAGCCCTCATCGCTCATTCTCCAAGAAGGACTAGGAAATTATTAATCAAACTTAATATTATCTCCCTCCAAGTGCAAGACATAAAAATTCCAAGTGCACCGAACTTCATCGATTTTGTGATTTAAAGCTCATTAATAAAGGCACAATTGCTACAACTAACACGACAATCTACATGACAATAGTCGTGTACTTGACAACTCCAAATGACTCCCCTTCTCGACTAAATTTCCACCATTTGCGACTAGCTTTCATTTCCCGATAGAAACAAACAGTATCAAATAACACAACTAATATCCGAGAAGAATATTTTATTTCTAGTAACTTCCCAAACTGAATTACCGTTGTAAAAAAAATTAGATTTCCAAAACAAGGTTAGCAATCTCCTTCCTGCGGTTCTACATTTCAAATCAAACCCTCCTTGCCTGAAATTCAATTTTATTCAATTTTTTCAACCTTCATTACTCCTCTATTATTATTAACGCCTTTTCAACATAGACAATCATAATTTAATTGTGTATGTCAAACATTCGAACCGTACTTTTTTCGTGTTGAACTCAGATAACAACCTTTAGAATGAAACAAATGATTAATTACAATGAAATCCGATGTTCTGGATTCTGGGCATTGTAACGAGCTCATCTCACGTAATCGTAAACAATAGCAAAGTTATGATTGATTGAAAGTCACCCATTGCAAACACACGACCATCCAAAAGAAAGAAAATTTCAAGAATGTTAATTAATACGAAAAAATTACGTCACTGACAGATTATAACAGTCAATCAATATCTACGTAATGAAGTTTCTCAAAGAGAAAAGCGCTAAGACAAAAAAGGGTATTCATTTTAACTTTCACCGAGCCAGAGACCCTATAAGTAACGATCTGGTTTGCTCATTTTTTAGTTTGTTATTCAAAACTTTTCAATTTTCTCAATAATGAAATTTATTTTTATTAGACTTTGGCTCATTATTACGTTGTACATATAGGGGTGAGCCTTAACTTATACGCATAAACTTAGACAATGAAAGGTTATGATCAATAATAAGTAAAAAAAGAATAATAAGTTAAATAAATAACTATTATTCGACGAGTTTGAGTGTAAATCGGACAGATTATTACACCGAGTGGGTTATTAAACCACGAGTGTAACGAGTGGTTTATCATCCACGAGGTGGAATAAAGCGTCCGATTTACACTCAAACGAGTTGAATACAACATTTTATTCTTCGAAATAGAGTCAATAAGACTTAAACTTGCTTCAAATCTGTTAAAAATAATCTGACGTATTGAGAAATGCCAAACAGTTGTCAAAACTTCCTAACACGGGAGGACAACCGTAAATTTTGACAGTGTCGAAGAATAAAACTTTTTTATTTTTGTCGACATTGGTGTCATCAGCGCAAATTATCTAAAATTTTAAAGTCTAATAGTTTTAATTTTAACACGGTATATTCCGGTAACCTGAGACACTTTTATTAGAATTTTTTCTCACTATTAGTTATTATGTGGCATAACCTATCATTCCCTAAAATTATGCGTATAAGTTAAGACTCACCTATTTCTCTAAAAAATAAATTACCAAAAATATAAGATAGTTTCAAATGTTGTCTTTGGAGATCATAATTTTATAATATTTTAAGAAAAGCTATAAAAATGTTAAAACAAAGCAGTATTTATTTGTTTATTAGATTAGATATTAGATTATTAGATATTAGATTTGTAAAAGTAGATTTGCCTAAAACCTTGAGCGTAGTTATTATGTCGAAAAAATGATTTTTGTGACAAAAAACTGTCTCTTCATAACTAAACTTAATTTAATAATCTAAGAAAAACTTAATTGCTACTGTGCTTGCAGCTAATCATTTGATTTCTATCGTAACTGCAGCCTAATCATCTCAACAAAGACTCATAAAAGGGATTGGATTATCTATTAACGAGTTTAAAGCTGTTGAGTAATTCCCTTAATTTCAACCAAACTTATGCCCTCGCAAGGGTATCAAAAATGAAGAATCTAACTCAAGACACAAATTATTTGATTAAATAACTGCCCAAAGTTCAATCAGTCCGGATTAATTAAAATTGATAAATTATAAAACTCGTAAGTGTTGCTATTATTTTGTCGTAATAAATCTTACAAAGTTAAAAAGTAAAAAAGCTTTGAGTGAGGTTTTTAAACAAAAAAGTTTCTTGTCAAATTAAGTTATTATAGAAACATTATCGACGTTAATTATATACAAGATTGTTATTTATAATCGTTAAAAGTTAACATTTACTATTTGATTTATTATCCGAGTAGCCGCTATTCAAAAATACTTTAGAAAGACCGGAAGGCCATCAAAATAGCCATTACGAAAGCAAATAAACTAACTTTTTGACAGTGTATAGGTAGGTAGGTACGTGTCATAAGTTTAAATGGTCGACAGTTACAAAAAGTTTCCACTTTTATTGATGTCATATTAAATGTGACACAAAGTTATAAAGAATCTCTCTCTATAAGCTACAACAGATAATTTTGTTCAAACAAAAAATTGCTTTAATTAATAAAACTTACTGTAAGGTTGAGGTCGAGATCCATAATGTGGCTCCTGCAGTAAAGGCTGCGGTCTACCATTTGTGTTTTCTTTCACTGAAATAAAAAAACAAAAATTAATATTTGAATAAAACATTGAATAGAACATTCCCAGACGTGTACATCTTAGCTTTTCCCACTGCAATTTTCTAAAGATCCAACCCTTCAACGCAAAGTACGCATTCAACGTCGCGAAAAATGTGTTAGCAGTTAGACAAGAACGAGGACGCCTTTTGTTAAATATTAACAAATTCCTGTCTTCAGTACATGAATTTAAAAATAAAAAAAATTTCATAAAAATATGAATGTATTTTTTTCAAATACTAAGATATAAAAAAAATTAAACGCTTGCAATTTTCAGGCGAATGCCGCTGACCGTGATCGCAGTAGCATAGTAGCCAGAAACTAAAATAAAATTGCCGTTTCACGGTATGCAACTGCAAAGTAATTATAAATAGGACATTTTATTAGTGTTACGAAAGCACACAGTAGAAATTAATCACTGCTGTCTAGTCATTTGCAGCTAATTATTATTCCTCCAAAATAATTAATTTTGGCCGTTTTAAAAAAGATATTTAAAGAAGACAATTATACTTACTCCACACAGTGGTATTTTAAAACACAAATCGTTTGCTGAAATCTCTTTGCTGTAAAAATTCTCTGAGATAAAGCTCTATCGACGACACTGAAGAGATCTACAGCGACCATTATCCCACTTAAAATAAGCGTATTACACGACATAATCTACAAAATGCGTCATTAGCACTACTTTGTAAACGAATAGAGTACTTCTTTTCAATTCAAGCGGCGCTCCGTTTTGTGAAGTTCGTTGTTAACGCAATGCCCGACAAGAAAGAGAGTTTTCGCCAACTGAACGGTCATTATCAAAACGCATTAGAGGCGGTACAAAGGCACATTAAATGTTACTTTCTCTCAAATCCATTGTTTCAAAGCTTTACTTATTAAGACGATGTGGAGAAACTTTAGAAAACCAAAAAAAAGGTAAAGAATATTTGTAATTATTAAAAAAAATATTTATAATTTTGTTTTTCCACACTTTACTATTTACTGATATATGAAAGATGACAGTCGAAGAGCAAAATAGCTTTTTCATTTATTATTCATGTTGATTAAACTTTCATTTTTGAAGCTACCTGTATAAATCGTCCTGCAAGCATTTTCCACAATGTTCCTTTTTATTGTTCGGATAATGGCTCTTAAATCACTATTTTCCCCTCTTATTTAGCCTAGACTTGACAACGTTTCTGGTGGTTCAGAAAAGATCAATCTCTCGTAATCCATTTAATCACTATCAACGTCAGATTAACGATAAAATTTGCTTTATTCAACACATTACAAATTCAACTTAATAACGTGACAACAAACAAGATTAATTTAAACCGTCACACTTTAAACGATTTATATCCAACATCACGTAGAGAAAACTTAATTTTAATTTCACTATAATTTATGACAATAACACAACCAAAAATAGATTATTTTTATTATTTATTACTATTATTATTATTTTTAATATTATTATGCACTAGTGAGGTATTACAAAGCCCTCTCATAGAAGAAAAGAAACGTAACAAGAAAACTGGTTAAACAAAACATTATAATAAAATGTTTAAAAAATTAACTTTCTGTCATATATTCAGAAAAGAATAGATGGCTTGTATAACTGTTAAACATATCTACTACCGAATGAAAAAATTACGAGAAAAGTTCTGAGATTAAAATACGATTTTTACATAATTTGCAAATTCTAGAGTCCGGAAACGCAAAATTTACATGGTGAGAGATAAATTTGCAGCTCACAAAACACGTCTGCATTATTTAAAGCCAATCTCTTTTTTGTTAAATATTACAGAACCCACGAGATTTTTTTTTCACTCATATCGGACGGTATTCCTCAACACATTAAAAACAAAATACTTAAAATTTACTCTTTTCAAATCATTTTCGACTTCAATTATCACAAGAGAAGGAAATTCGTTCGCGGGTTCAATTTACAACCGACCATAAAGATTTTCATTCATTATGAAATCAGGCCGAAAGCGACGAAAACGAAATGATGTAATTACCGTAGCCAAAATAAATGTTCAAAGGAAATGTAATGGGTAAACACACATGAGCTCGTTACATTTAAAATCACATGATCAAACCAGAATAGTACTTTGACGGCATATTCCAAGTTGCCTCGTTTAAAACTTCTATAGCCCCCAAATGCAGCAAAGTTGTCATTTCAATATAATTAAACGAGGTATTTTCTAAAGTTTGCGTAGCGGGAACAACTTTCCGACGCTTTCAAAAGTCGCTGTTAACTAATCTTCGTTTAATTGCATGTGGCCAATCCCTAAACTCTGCTGATACAAAACGTTCAAGAAAAATAACTCAAACTGAAAAGCAAACGCGACTGAATCAACAGTTGAGCCTACCGTCTCCAACTTGATACTCGGAAGAATTTAGTGATGAATAGTCGCAAAAACTTTTATCCAACTTTCGAAGGTATAAAGTAGAAAATATAGCCCGAGCTGAGAGCTAAAAATATCAAAATTTCCAAGAAAATTTTCACGTGCGACTTCCTCAAAAAGCCATTTAGTGATTGAAATCGAGGCCAGTCAACAGAATAAATGAATTGAAACTTTCATGGAAATAAGTCAAACCAACGCTCTATTATTTCGAATTAAAAAAAAAACTTCGTATGTTACAAAAATAAAAGCAACAAGAGATATTAAAAACAGTTATTTAGTTTCAATTAAACTTATCTGCGTTTTGGAGCAGCCAAAAAGCGTCCCGTTAAAGAAGAATTCGGGAACAATTTCTCAAAAGATCGTAAATTCATCCACTGTAAACCGTCTCCTCCCGTAAAGCTCCTTCTTTTAAAAGCAGTCAAGCGATGTAATAAACCAGAAGAGTTTCATCTCGTTCTCACGTCTTGTGTAATAGAACGCCATGAGACGGCCCCTGTTTCGCGATAAGAAGACAATCATGTGTCGGCGCTCCGATATCTTTAAAGAGATTCGTGCTTTAGAACCCGACTCTCTTGCACTGGCGCATCCACCAAAATGTCGTCCATATTAAACAAATGCTTTAATCACCGACGAATGCGTCCTTTCACAGGTAAATTATTTAGAGGTCTTTCCCGGATCCTCTGAATAATGACTGCTTTTCCTAGCGAAGCAATGTTCAGATTAATCTGCTTTGGCAAATATCGACATTAACATTTACGGGCTATCATTGTTCGGCGAAATTCCGCTGATATTAGTTAAATTAAAGCCGAGAAAACATAAAACTAAAATAGTGGGCCGACAAACCTGTCGAAACTGATGATTTGCCCAAGAGAAATGAGGTAAATTAACGAAAATTAAACGTAAAATTACACCATTTCATCAGATGTTTAATGAAGCTAAAGTACACCCTCTGCATAGAAATACATAATATTTCACTCTGAAAATAAAATTGCCGAGTTTTAGTAAACTAAAACCTACAAAAAAATGAAAAAAAATATCATGGGATAGTATGGGTTAATAATAAGTACATTTTCTTGTTTTTGTTCCAATGAATGCTTGTGGTTGGTGATGTACTGATCTTGTAGTTATTTTTAGTTTTTCTTTGTTAGAAACCGTACAAATTATGTCATATGAGCTATTTAAATTAAATTTATCTTTTTCTAGATCTTACAATTTTTCTAAGTACAAATAACTAGTCCCCTCATTACTTCATGCTGTAGCTAATGCGTTGCAGACCAAAACTAAACTTTATTACTCAATAAAAAAGATATATCGCCTTTCACTCAAAATATGCTTTAAAATATTGATAACGCAGTAATATTTCCTCGTCTCTAGAAAATTTATAAGCTAGGCTATCACCATTTACATTTTTCAAGACAAAAAATAAATCTTTACTGGATTGAAATTTTATTTGAACAGATTCAATTTTGCACAAGAACATAGGTGTGTAATTAAATGAACAACTTCAAATGTAGTTATAGTGCAGAGCATATTTATAAGATTTTTGCATAAATAATAAGTGCACAGTTAAAATTAGATATGCATAATTCAAATTTATTTATCGCTTGGACATCATCTAATCCATAACAAGAAGATTCAACAAGAAGTATTTAAGGCTTTGAAATATTTATCAAAAACCCGTGTTTCTATATAAAACACCCTTTTTAGGCTACCGATAAACAACCTTTTCCGAGCAAAACTAAACGAAAACAAGTGTCATATAAACTAGTTTACATAAACGCCGCTAAAATAAACAACATGTTAAAGCTTAACCGTTTGTGTTTTGCTGATTGATCCTTTGAGGAATATAAAACCACCGAATGTTAAATTAGTAGTCCAAACCGCTTGCTTTACTATTAGAAAAATACACTTGTACAAAACCCGTTTTGCCATGAATTCACACGATAAAAATTTCAAGATAAAAGTCTCCTCTCATCATCGGTAAACGAAGCACAATATCAAAGACATTTGCTCTTTTCTCCGAAGAGAATTGCTAACTTTAAAAAACGTCAACGTTATATATCGACTTTACGAGATCATAAGAACGATATCCAAAAAGTTAAATTGAACATTATCGGTCTTAACCGATAATGACCAAAATGAAACTCGACGTCCAAAGAAAAGAATTGTCTTTCAGGGAAGAAGTTCGATTCTCTTGGAAAAAGTTGTTGGAGCGTAACGAGTGCATGTAAAAAGCTCAGTTTTAAATTACAACTGCATCGATCCGTAAAGGCTATAGGGAACTGTTGGAATAGCTGAAATATATTTCAAAGAGACCCTTTCGTATCACTATCTTAGACAACGGACAAAATTATATGGAGAACAATACCGAAAACAGTAAATTTATAGGAGATAAACGAGCATTATAAGATTATCACTAGGTATCGAGTAGTATGTAAGACTACATCAAGACAGATAACAAACGTTGGTTCCCGATTAATTATTTATTGAAAAACGATTCAGTAAAACCACGTTACAGATTCATGTAACTTACAATAAATCATTCATTCGCACTGAATAAATTATCATTGAGGAATAGTG